GGGTTTTGTTTAGCTTCTTATTTGCAACATAGTACATTGTTGCTTAGAGTTGCAACTCAGAGGCCGGCAACGTTGGAGTCTGCAGTCACTGAAGCAAGGAAGCCTCATGTTCGCTTCCAGCTGCCTGGCTGCTGGCCGCCATCTTGGCTGACAGTTAATTTGCATAAGGATATGCTGATTAGCCAATGGAAAGGGTAGCGGTCGTACGCCAATTACCATGTTTCTCTTTTATTAGTGTAGATACTCCTTTTTCTGGCTTCCCCACCCTGAGGGTGTCTGGCTATGAGACTGGAAACAAAGGTCCAGACCCCCAGCTTTTCTGGTCAGAGCCGCACTACAGGCGGCTGTGCTGGCCAGCCTGTCCGGGCTCTGCTCTCTAAGAAGGAAGCCCATGGGGGGAGCCCTGGGCTAATGGAACTCAATCCTTATTGGTTCTCCCTGGAGGAAGTGTTATAACCAGCTCCCTCCATCTCTGGAAACATGAGAGCCTTGTTTCTCCTTACCCTACCCGGAGAGCACATACGTGGATTCCACTTTCTCTTGCACATTACAAAAGGGGGTAAGAACCAAATCTGAATGGAGCACTCTCGGCTCCGCCCTGCTAAGTTGCGCTGATCTGCAGGCACCTGAAGACGTTGGCTGATATCCATGAGCCAGGCCTTTCCGAGCACCTCTCACTTGTGTTGCCAACAGGAACTCAGAGCCCAAACCTCTGCAGGCCCAGCATGTAGTCAGGAAGCACTCTCAGCTTAGAGATGGGGGGCAGGATCACTCAGCTAGAGGACAGGGCCAAGGAAAACAGCCCAAGTAGGTCCCTGGCCTCATTGTCCAAGCCTGAACTCTGACACTCAAGACGCCATGAGCTCTGACACCTGTCACCAGTGTGCCTACAGCAGCCAGCACCCACCTTACCCAGGCTGCACTGGGCTCCAGACCCCTCCACAGAAGAGGAAGTGGAAGCTCTACTTATTGACCTCGTGTTGCACCACTGGAAACCCTCAGGGAATTAGGCCCTGGAGACAGATTCCTAAGGACTCCTTACAACCACGCCCAATGCTGAGCTCGACTGCACAAAACAAGTTTCTAACTTCCACAGGAGCCATTATACTCACATAGTGGTCATTCTGCAGGGTTCTGAGCCCTCAGACAAAACCTGCCTGGTGCCTTGGCTCCCAGCTCGGCTCTTGGCTTTGTAGCTCGCTGGGGGCCAAGGGCACAGGTTCTGGCCATGGCTGCACAGAGTGAGCGTTTGCTTGCAGTTCACAAGTTTATTAGTGAATGCGTGGGGCCCGCTGGTGTTTACATGTGTGGTCACTACAGCGCTGGTACTGGCTGCAGGAGGGAGGGAGGCTGCTGATGGGCTAGTCTCTGTGATGTCACCCAGGAAAACGATGGGCTTCTCTCCTGGATCAAGGTGTCAGGGCTCAGGGCTGGTCCATCAGAGGGACTCCACTCCTGTTTGCGGGGCCTGGCCCAGGGGGATGAGGGTTTTCAGGATCTCCGTGTAGTAGGGGCCGAACACCTGCTGATTGTGGTGCGTTAGGTTGACAAACCTTTGGCCCAGTTCTGCCAGCTCTGCCTCAATGAGAGTGAGGCCCCCGGGGAGGTCTAGCAGAGAGCGCGGCACACCGAGAACCAAGCAGCATTTGAGAAACAGGTGGATCCGCTGATCTGCGAGCAGGAAAGACAGTGAGAAGGGAAGCGGCAGGCGACGTTCAGGGAGAAGCGGCCCTGCACTCGTCCAAGCTCTAAATTAACCTCACTAGACACGGAAATCTGTTTTGTTTGGGGTGGGGGACCGGGAGGAGAGCTGCTATATAGCCCTCAAGGGCCAAGCAAGGATTGACAACCAGTGGCTAGTATGTTTTCGACCATTCCAAAGCTTGCTCAGTACCCACCAGTGACTGATGAGGATATGACACGCAGGAGGCACTCAGGCTGAGCCCTTGGACGGCTGAGGTTAAGAGCAAGGCCAAGCTCAGAGCCTCCATTCCCACGTGGGACGGTGGGGGCAGGAGTCCCTGCCAGGGGAGCGGCCGCCAGCCTAGCCAGCAGCGTTGCCTGTGGGCAGGGGTGAACGTCCCGTGTCTAAGACTGCAGACAGAAATGACCAAGAAGGCCAGGGTTGGGCTAATAGGGTGGTTGGCGTGTGCCACACCTGGAAGTCATGAATTCCTGGTGCAGATCTTCCTTAGGGCCAGAGTCCATCTTTCAACTACAAAAGATATATTTTTTCAACCCAACATTTTGAAAATCTAAAGCCTGGCACGTGACCTGCCCAGAGATCGCGCCTTTTACCGGCAGGTGGCTCAGCGGCCAACTTCCAAGGGTAGTCTCCCTCAGCCACACAGCCTCCCCACCAGGGACACTCACCGATGACGCTGCGGACACAGTTCTGCGCGTGGGCAATGTCCTGGAGCTGTCCCATCAGAGAAGCTATGTTGTCGCTGCTCAGAGGCGCGAGGCCCATGCTCTTGAGGCTTTGGTGGATCTCCTGAGACACCTGCTCGCTCACAGTCAGCATGGCCTCCTCCGGCCTAGAGCACAGGGAGAGGAGGCTGGGAGCCACTGCTGGCCTGGCATGGGCTGGAGCCCTTGAGGGGGACTCCCAGACCTCCTCCTGCCCCCACCCAGCCTGGCAGCAGCCCAGCCAATGGGTGGATTCGGTGTCTCGCTCTTATCTCAACACATCGACTATTCTCTACATACAGCACCACGTTCTACTTCTCCCGGCCAAGATAAATTAAAACCAACTCCGACGAGCATTGGGTCTGGCCCTCGGAACACCTCAGTGTCCCTCAGCCCCCCGGCATTTGTGTCTGTGTGCACGGAGGTCCATTTTAAGACTTTCTTGGACATTTCCCAGGGCTGTCCTGCTCTCACCAGTGACAGTGACCACCCGCCAGCATGAGGGCCTGCACGCCACGCTACCTGATCCCGTCTCACAAGCCCACTAAGCCCAGCCCCCCAGCCTCTCAGCCCAGCGACTCCTGTGCAGCAAACAAGAGGGTGAATCACTTCGCAGCAAACAGCCCCCACGCTACTCCTCTTGGAGGACAGTTCTCAGTTCTGTGTGTCTTTGTCACAAGCCTCAAGTCCAGCTACAGAGAGACCCCAGCGACCTGGGCCATGGGCCTCGCTGTGGCCGTACCCGCCTGTGTCCTCGGACGTGTCATCTCGAAAGACAAAGGTCCGCGCAGCTCACCTGGAATCGAACTCCTCGGTGAGGGCTTGGGTGGTGCGCTTCAGCTTGTCCACGAACTGCGGGGAGCCGAACAGGATGCTGCCACCACAGGAGCTGCTGGCCACCAGCAGGACGGAGGCCAGGACGGTGAGGCGGCGCAGCTGCACCTCCAGCTCCCGCAGCCGCGCCCTGTCCGCCAGCAGCGTCTGAGGACGGGACAGGCTGTGAGGCGGGGCCCTGCCCGAGGTCCCCACCACAGCTGCGGGCCGCCCCACAGGCCTACCTCTGGGAACTCTTCGTCGTCATCAGGGTTCCAGAGAAGGAGGTTCAGGAAAGCCTGGGACAGCACCACGGCGGGGCTCAGGGGCTCCGGGCTGGAGGCTGACTCACTTGGAGAGGGGCCAGCCCCGCTGGAGGCG